CAGAATCTGATTGAATAAATAATATGTTTAGTATTTTTGTAGAATAATTTGTATATACATCGCTGTTATGTATACTGCGTACAATATTATTTTCTTCAAAGTGCTTAGTTGACACAGAACGGATATTTTTTTTAAGATATAAATTTGTAAATCAAAAACTTTCAATATACAGACTAACACTACACAGCCAAATTTAAACTAATATGCATATAGTGAATTAAGTAACATGCAAAAGAGAGAATATTGAATGTGTAAATATGTTGATCTGGAGAGCGTATATATGTCTATAACGTCATCAATACTATTTCCGCCTTTATCTCGAAAGTTCTATTCTCATTCACAGGTCAGAGTTATCTTTCTTTGCCCACCTTATACATACTACGTAAATAGAGAAAATTTCGTACCGAAAATATACAAAATGCGGAATCTGATTTAAAAACAAATTATATATTTAGTATTTGTAGAAAAATGTCTGTTTTACATAAAAATATCTTGAAAAAATATCTAAAAACAAAAAAATCAAAAATTGACCAAAAACAAACTCACTTCCGGTTCGGACAGGAAGTACTGGAAACACACGAAAACAACTTCAAAACAAATAGAATATTATGATCTAATACTCCTGTAAATTTCATATCTTTACCTCAAACCGTTTCCGAGAAAACTGCCGGACAAAAGTCCATTTTAAAATTCGAAAATCGGCCATAACTTCGGACCGGAAGTGAATTTTTCAAAAAACGGAATTTTATATAAACTTCATATATCAACCTACTTACATGAGAAAAATTGTGAAAATCTATCCAGCCATCTCTGAGTAATCGCGCTCACAAAATTTGGGAGGAATAATAATAATAATAATAACTAGAATCTTGTTGCCATGGCAACAAATAAGTCTTCCGTTCTTCTAAATCTGTAAGAATTTGCTTTTTTCTCTGCAAAAAAATAGATATCATATGTACTCTGAAAGAAAAAAAAAACTGCAAAAAGGTCTTTCAGTACTTAAGGTACTTTGATTTTCATGACCAATCTTGTTCTTATGCATTTTGGCACTCATAAGAGTTACACGTGTATCATAGACAAACCAACGGACGAACGAACACCGTACTCTCATAAACTTCACTGTGTTTATGTTCTGGCACAATTGTGATGGTGTTATAAAAATGTCATGAACTAAGTTAGTACCACATTAAACGTAAAGTCGTTGATTTTTACAGTAATACTATCGAGATTTGTCAGCAGAAAGATTATTCAACTACAGGAATTATTCAGCAATCGATTAATTGATTATATGTTGTTTAATGTCCCTCTCGAGAATTTTTCACATGGAGAAGCCTCCACTCGCTGGTGGAGACTGCAAAATGTTGTCCTATAATTTGGCTCTAATCGCCATTGAGCATTGACGAATCTTTTTGAGTCAGTACCATCTGACACACGGTTTTAAACGATCTCATCTGACGGACAGGTCTCCACGTCCCACAACTGAAGTCCATAATACAGATCTATATATGATGCTCTAGCCATGTTTTTATTTTATTTTTCATTTCTCAAATTTGTTGCATCAGATTTTCTTAAAGATCATACTTAATAAAAATCATTTCGAACAACTTTATTGCAATGCATACAGCGTCCGGTGATTTTGATTGACAGGTCAATACATGTGCACTTAGTGTAATACTTCTTAAGCAGAAAAAAATATACAGAGAGTGACTATGACGGACTATGAAATCAGAAAATATTTAATAAAGAATGGGTACAACTGATATAGAACTGATTTTTTGTCTATGTAAATGGATAGGATAATCAGGATTAAAAGGGAATCTCTCTCTCTCTCTCTCAGACATGTAAATTTCAGTATCTTGCGTAATGAAAAATCTACTATTATTGAATGTGAATTCTGCATACATGTTAATGTTAATTATAACCAAATGTTCCAGATTTAATTGTATAGCGAATTTATAATTCAAAGGCCTACAGTTGCAATAATGTCTCCGATTAAAATCAAGAGGAGGGGGGGGGGGGCTTCAAAAGAATTACATACTCGGTAATTTTATGTTTTATGAATTAAAAGGAAAATACTTAAGGTTGCATGTACATACATATAATTATATAGCATTGCATAAAATTGTGTTCATTCGTATTCGTATTCGTACTTTATCTATAGTCTGTCCCACCAAGCTACTGTAAGCACTTTTCGCAAAATATCTCAAAATATATAAATACCTTGGCTTTCAACCCAGTTCCGATCGATAGATCATTTTTTTTCCAACCTTCCTCCGTTTATCCGAACCCTCGAGGTCAACCAGTGCATACACACGGCGGCAAATTCAAAGTCTACGGAGATTTAACATTGTCAAAATGGCCACCACTTCGGAAGGGGATCGTCCATTGTTCGTAATTTTCCGTACGTTGCCGTCAGTAAGGAAATGACGTCACACACGTTCGGGAGTGCTCTATGGTTATCGACGTCCGAAAAACCTATAACGCCCGAGACTTCCAAGTATATATTTTTACCACAAAAAAAATACGTCTTCAAATAAAAAACAAACTTTTATACCCAGACTGAGACCGAAGGGACCAAAGATTCATAAAAGGGTAATGCATAAAAGCAAAGAGATATGACTCAATTCGTACATAACATTTGGATAAAATAATCGAGGCTACTCTACTGCAAATTTAGCTCAAGTGCAATTAGTTTTATAATTTATCAGCCAACACGTAAAATTAGAGATCAATCAAAGTAATATCACCAGTATTAAGATTTTTTAAAATTATAATTGCTGCCTTACCTTAACGTTTCACCGTAGCTTTCCTTATAAATCCAACTCCTTATAGTTTGTTAAAAACTGTAACACTGTCAAAATAAGTATCATATTATCGTTTCTATGTCACAGTATGTGAACAAGTGGTGTCCTCACATGCACATGCCACAGTATTCCTTGACTTTGTTATACTTCCAACTCTCTGAACAGATAAATCCTTCGTTGTTATTTTATTTTTCATCTCGGTGCAAAACAACGTTTGTTGTCTGCATCAAACTACGTCACCAATGAATTTTGACCTTGCCCTTCCAAACCTTCCTGTAATCTATATCGGTGTTAGGTAAATTCAGACCCAGGCTATACTTTTTTGTTTACCTTAAATATAACACAATACCAAAATTCAAAATATTCCTATACACATAAAATTAAAATACATAACGCAAGTGTGAAGTATTTTGATTTTTTAAAAATATAGGCCTATATTATCTTTTTTTTCCCTTCTCTATTTCAATTAAATAATTTTAACAGATAGCATTTTATGAGTTTTCAGAACAAAAATTTTCATTGCAGGAATCTGAATAGCTGCCTGGTGCAACTACAAGATAGAAAAGCACAAACATGTACATTATATATACTAAGCCATAAGTACCTGCAGATACAAATATGTATATTGAAGGTATGAAATAATGCAGGTTTCTTGAGTTTGATTATTGAGTCCCAGCAATTTTTTTTTCTTTTGTATTTTTAAAGTAAGTTTATTCATTGACAATTCCCTAGTACACAAACATACATATATGCCTATATCATATACCTAGTAGTGTATCAGCCTTGATACAGATGTTTTGGACTAGGTGAGACAGACGAGTGCCTCGTAATTCCCCCCCCCCCCCCCCCCCCCAAAAAAAAATAATTGTCTTGTTTCCTGCAACCAGCCTGAAAAAAAATCGGGTAGGTAAGCAGGAAAATTATGTTATTTTTTAATTTCTTTTTATTTTCGATATGAACTAATACAAAACCAAATTAAACATCATAGACCAATATTTTCATTACAAATTAAATTTTCTCTTTTGATGCATGACTCAATGGTACATGTATGTTATGAAAGTCCATATTTAAAACATACATGTACAGTGTCATAAAATACCACTTGAATATTCATTATTTTTTTAAGTTTTGGAACATGAAATTAAGGAAATTCCAGATTTTTACCAAACCTAAAAAACTTTAGGGTAAGGTGCAAAAAATTAGGGTAAGTTGGGTAACAGGAAACAAGACTATTATTTATTTGGGCCTGAGTAGAGCTGTCTCGCCCTCGGGGCTGAGATATCTCTGTCTTGGCCCATTGTCAAGGGGCTGTCTTGCCCTCAAATGTCAAATCATTATTTCTGTTTATTTATGTGAATTAAGAATAAAATTCATATTTAAGAAATTTAAGTAAGAGATTTTATATCCAAAATTTGTCTAGAATCTTTAAAATTTATTTATGGTAGAATATTGAGAAAATTGTAAAATACTTTGGAATCATTTTATTATACCTGTCTAAAATAGGCAAAGTAATTTTGAAATACTTTTACAGTAAAACTTGTTTAGTACGAACACAGGTATTGTGAATTCACAGATATAGCGAGGTAACCTTGGATCCCCAGCTATGTAAATGTAATGAATTCCTTATACAATAAAACAAATTATGGGTATAGCAAAGTATTTTCAAAGGTTCCATTGACTTTTTTTAACAGAGTTTTACTATATAAGGTAAACATTTTGACTTTTTACAAGACCTTTCTGAGAACTTCAAACAACCTTAGAGGACATTGACAAGATATAAACATTATCATGATAAAATGAAAACTGTTGCATGAAGAGATTTAATTTTTCAAGCTTTGTTTTGAGATTCTGAATTAAATTATAAATTAAATAGTTATCCTTCCTTGGCTGAGGATCCAAGTACCTTAACAGATTTTTAATAAGTCTTGTAAAATTATAGTTGCTTGAAACATAAAGCAGTTTTAGATTATAGGATAAACCAGTTTGTTTGAACTGTTTTCATCGTTTTATTTAGTAAAATTTAAAAATATTTTAAAGACAAATGATTTGTTTGTCCTATATTTAAGGATATTAGATCAAAATCAGAAGAATAAATGTCTATAAAAGTCAAGCGCCCACTGATGCTGGAGTCCATGCTGTAGAAAAGACATGAAACAAAAGTGAGAAAATGTCAACATCAGTTATCTATGACTGAAGATGGAGATTGTCTCTATTGTAAAATTTCCAAGGAAAATGGTGTTGTCTGGCTCATCCAGTGATCACTCCATTTGCAGATTACCAGGTAATCTTTGGTTTTGTCAATACTTTGTGCCTGAAAAAAAAATTAATGATAAAACATTTTAATTCGTCATAAAGATTTCAGAGCATAAAAAATACTTTTAAATTTGTGCAATTTGAAATTTAAAGATACAATAAAAATTCAGATCGTACTCATCATATATTAATATAAATTGTTTACTTATTAAAAATACATATACTTGGTTAATTCTCATTTTCAGGTTCCAATCTGAAGTATACATTGGAAGAGCAAAATCTTTCTCATTCATATAAACAATTACTACCTGTGATCCAGAAGAATGTCCTGATTGTTTAGTCCCACATAAGATGGATTTCAATCTAACACGTTATTCTGAAAAATTGAGTGAACAGTCTTCTTAATGCAGGAATTCTTTGTCACAATATCTCGACTCTGCATGGTCATCAAAACTTTGGACTCTTGTGAATTATTCAACCTATAAAAACATAATTTTGTATTAAAGTAATAAAAGTATAATCAAATATTCTATGCTTCAGTTATAATTACATTTTTTTTATCAATGTTTGTTTATTCTTTCAAATGGTGAGATTGTGCAGTATTAAAGGTGCTTAGACAAAGATTTGCAGTTAATATTTTCTCAAATTTTCTGTAAAATATCACGACTTATATAACAAGAGGCTCACGAGAAACATCACTTATAATTGCCTGAATAGCTTTGACCATTCAGTTCTTTACAAGATTTCCCCCTTGTTATACCTTTTGTGACCCAACCTAAACCCTGTGGTCATAATTTGAACAATTTAAAATCTACATTACCTCACAATGATTTTGCATAAGTTTCAGCTTTGCTTGCCTTCCCAAGAAGAAGATTTTTTAATAGATTTTTCTTGTATACTTCAATGTAAAACTTGGGTTCCCTATTGTGGTCCCACCCTACCCCAGGGGTCATAATTTAATTATTTAGAATCTATTAGAATCCCAGGATGCTTCTGCATAAGTTTCAACTTTTCTGGCCCAATGGTTTTCTGGAAGAAGATTACGAATGCTGAGGGGAAAATATACACTTGAAAGATTAGAGGGAAAATTGTAACATGTATGCACATCTGACAGGTGTTCAGACTCAGAGCTTCAAACAAGAGGCCCAGGGGCCACAATGCTCACCTGAGAACATCAGCTACTAAAAGTTTACTGGGGGGGGGGGGGGCTTCAATTTAAACCCCCAGGGAATCATGACTTGAACAATTTAGAATCTACACTACCTGAGGATGATTCCATATAAATATCACTAATCATGGCTTTGAAGTACTTAAAAAGAAGATTTTGAAAGGTTTCCCTACATATTCCTATGTAAAACTTTGGTCGGCCATTTTGACCCCACCCTAGCCCTGGGGGTCATGATTTGAACAAACTTGAATCTACACATCTACCTGAGGATAATTGCACATGTGTTTCATCTTTCCTGTCTGAATGGTGCTTGGGAAGAAAAGTTTTAAAGATTTTTCCTGTATATTCCTATGTAAAACTTTGATCGGCCATTTTGGACCCACCCTACCCCTGAGGGTCATGATTTGAACAAATTTGAATCTACACTACCTGAGGATGATTCCACATGAGTTTCATCTTTCCTGGCCCAGCGGATCTCGAGAAGAAGATTTTTTTAAAATGCCATTAATTTTTCTCTAATTCATAATTATCTCCCCTTGGAAGGTGTGGCACTTTATTTGAACAAACTTGAATCCCCTTTACTCAAGGATACTTTGTAGCAAGTTTGGTTGAAATTTTCCCAGTGGTTCTTGAGAAGAAGATGAAAATGTGAAAAATTTACAACGATGATGACAACAGACAAAGGACAAATTTTGATCAGAAAAGCTCACTTGAGCCTTTGGCTCAGGTGAGCTAACAATCATTCTCAAAACATGTATTTAAAAGAGACAGGATTTTTTGAAGATCTTGAATATTATAGTAAACTTACTGCTTTTGTTATGCTTATCATCTTTACTTTAGGTTTCTGGTCTACTTCTCTCCTTATGCTGCAGTGGCTAAATCAAGCTTAACGTTGCTGAAAGAAGAGAAAGTGTCATAAAAAAGTAGAGGACATCAATTTCATTATAAACAATAGTGTTCCAAGGAACAAATATGTCACATGCTTTTAGCTTCTTTAAAGATTATCTATAAAATCTGAGAGTTGTCAGCTACCGGTATTTTTATGCTACTAGCATATAAGTATACAAAATGCAACCCTCAACTGAATAATTAAGTTGAAATCATCATAAATAGTTATTATTTTACATGTGTTAATAAGTGTTTCAAAGCAATTGTCACATTGAAAGATCCACTTTGTGGGATTCCAACCCAATTAATGTATTTTCATAATGTTTAAGATATCAGTTTTTGTGGTTTACTGAATATCATACAGTTTAAAAGAAGAGTTTTATGAGTTCATAAACATATATAAAATTAATGTTAATTATCAACACCCGTCAATCAATATTCAAAAGTCTTTAGTTAATTTAAATTTTCTGAGGTATCTTTGTAAAGTAGGTCAAAGTTCAAGTCAACAAAATATACAGTACTAGCAAATAAAGGCAACAATGTAAACAAAATATTGTAAATATTAATAAATCTTTGAGTCTGGAATTTTTTAATGACACTTTGATATCAATTTCATCAATACTATTAAGCCAAAAAAGATACCTACCAACCCACCTTGAAAAATGTGTGTCAGAGTACATCAAACAAAAATATTTTAATTATGGCCTACGGTTTTTAAAAACAAGTACTTTAAATGAAAATCTAGGAATTTTAAAATTAAGTTCACATTTAAGCAGTATAGGACTTTACAGAAAAAAATTATGCTGTTCAGGCCAGGTGCAGCTTTAAAATAGTCTTCCCTCTCCCAACTCAGGATTAGCATGATTAGGTTGGTAGGTAGATGAGAAAATTAATCTCAGAAAAATTAATTATAAATTAATAATTTATTCTCCAGAATACAAAAAAAGTTAATTGCTTCCTGGAGATTAAAAAAAGTTTTGCGTCATTTTAGCCAGTTGGTTGGGACAGGGCAATCAAATTTTTTTTTCGAGATGGCTAGACTGAGAATTTGAACTCTGAATATGTGCATGACAGCTGGTATGAATTACATGTAATGGAAATATATCTGATGTTACATGTATATCTATTATCAATTTTATTTTAAAGTCTGTACTCAGATGAAATGATTCAGCCTATCTTAACTTTTTATGCTGATCAAATTATACAGACATAATCTGACATGTTCTGTTTATTTATTTTTTTTTTCTGTTTTCCTTTCATGAATACTATACATATTATAATTATTTTCTCATTTAAATTGTAAGGTCAAGACAAATCATTATTTTCTGAAAAAGTATGTGCATATTCATCTACCTTATGCCTGGTTCTGCTAATTAATTCATCAATATGCATGCATGTACATTAAGGACCATTATAGAACTCAATCCAAAGACTTGATGAAAAAATATATGCACATTTTAATATTGTAAAAAGTTTTGAAAAATAATTCCAAAATGTGTTATCTATTGAAAGCTCTGTTTTGATGTCCCCAGGGTGTTGATACTACACATAAATGAAAAAATAAAAATACACTTTAGATCTGTAGCTTGTTATTTATTTGCCAAATGCATGTACATGAAATGTTATAAATTGAAAATGAAAGTAGGAATAAAATTTTTAAACTCTAGTTACTAGCTATTATTTTCTTTTAGGTATTATTTCATCTAATTGTTTGACCATATTCGTGTTCCTTTATAATCATAGAAACACCCCTTTACATTTTTCAATTTTCACACATGGGCTTACATACAGACCGTTACAGAGCACGAACGGTTGACCATGAGCACTAACAAGAGAGCTGTTGTTTTAATGTCAGCAATATCACGCGTTTTGAAATATATATATTCTTAGCATTTGTAGACACTTCTTTCTTGTGTGTATATAAGCTAGTAAAACAACAACAGCTGCAAAAAATACCATAGAATAAATAAACAACTTACGTAAACACTGGGCCTGGCGAGGCTGCTTGCATCATCATGTCAACAGCCATTATCCACAAGTTGTACTTCGTTAGATTCGGACTATTTTCTCGTAGTTTATAATTAAATTTGTTAAATGCTGTTAAAATTTATTTTAATTCAAAGTAAAAGTTATATTATCAATAAAAGCAATTTAAATTAATTCCTTATATTTTTAACGATTTTTTGGAAATTTACTCTGCAAAGGACGACTACTCCCTTCGAAAACTGGTTCCCGGCCCCGTAATCTAGACGCTAATGGACGAGTTTACCATGTTAAATCTCCGTAGACTTTGAATTTGCCGCCGTGTGTATGCACTGGTTGACCTCGAGGGTTCGGATAAACGGAGGAAGGTTGGAAAAAAAATGATCTATCGATCGGAACTGGGTTGAAAGCCAAGGTATTTATATATTTTGAGATATTTTGCGAAAAGTGCTTACAGTAACTTGGTGGGACAGACTATAACATATCAACAGACCTTTGCAGATGTTTTTGTATCATGTTTTTAGCGTAGCATTATTTCACACAGAAACGCGTAACTTTCACATAATGTTAACCCTTTGAGTACTTGTATTTCACAAAAATCCAAGAATCGCTTTTTCTCTAATCTTTAATAACTTCTCGGGTATATAAAAGTATAGATCATGTAAAATAAATAACACTATAAGACTTTTAATCAATGAAATATACGTGTTAAAACCAAATCCAATCTATAGATCGATTTTTTTTTCGTTTAAGTTGCAGATATCAATTTATTTCTAAAGGCTTTACACCTACTCTTCTATCTCTCAGTTCCCTTTTGAGTAAATATAATATTTTAGAATCGACAATAAAAGTCGGATTCCGGGATAATTTCGCATTCAAATTAGAGAATGAATTAAGAATATTTTTTTTAAATATAATCATAACAGACATTACAGATTTACACTACGCTGACAACTTTAAACTATGCATATACTGAAAGCAGTAACCAACGTACTCTTTCATGCAGAAGTGGATATGGAAACTCGAAGTCTAATTATTTTTTTTATGTGAAAAGTGTGGATATAGACGTCTGCGTCGTCATGGATACTACCTCCGCCTTTATCTAGAAAGTTCTATTCCCACTTACAAGTCAGAGTTATCTATCTTTGCTCATTGTCACTACGTAAATAGAGAAAATGAATTTATTGACGGAACCTTAAATCTCCAAAAAGCAGAATCCGACTGAATAAATAATATGTTTAGTATTTTTGTAGAATGATTTGTATATATATCGCTGTAATGTATACTGCGTAAAATATTATTTTCTTCAAAGTGCTTGGTTGACACAGAACGGATATTTTTTTTTAGATATAAATGTAAATTAAAAACTTTCAATATACAGACTAACACTACACAGCCAAATTCAAATTAATATGCATATAGTGAATTAAGTAACATGCAAAAGAGAGAATATTGAATGTGTAAATATGTTGATCTGGAGAGCGTATATATGTCTCTAACGTCATCAATACTATTTCCGCCTTTATCTCGAAAGTTCTATTCTCATTCACAGGTCAGAGTTATCTTTCTTTGCCCAACTTATACATACTACGTAAATAGAGAAAACTTCGGTACCGAAAATATACAAAATGCGGAATCTGATTTAAAAACAAATTATATATTTAGTATTTGTAGAAAAATGTCGGTTTTACATAAGAATATCTTAAAAAAATATCTAAAAACAAAAAAATCAAAAATTGACCAAACACAAATTCACTTCCGGTTCGGACAGGAAGTACTGGAAACACATGAAAACAACTTCAAAACAAATAGAATATCATGATCTAATACTCCTGTAAATTTCATATCTTTACCTCAAACCGTTTCCGAGAAAACTGCCGGACAAAAGTCCATTTTAAAATTCGAAAATCGGCCATAACTTCGGACCGGAAGTGAATTTTTCAAAAAACGGAATTTTATATAAACTTCATATATCAACCTATTTACATGAGAAAAATTGTGAAAATCTTTCCAGCCATCTCTGAGTAATCGCGCTCACAAAATTTGGGAGGAATAATAATAATAATAATAATAATAATAAAAAGAAACAATACAAACACTATAAGTCTTCCGTTGTGAACGGAAGACTTAAAAAGAAACAATACAAACACTATAAGTCTTCCGTTGTGAACGGAAGACTTAACTAGATGCGATCTCGTTGCAAGCAACGAGTAGGTCTTCCGTCCGATATCTGATGGAATAAGACCTGTGTTGGGATAATTCCACTGATAGGATAAAAAATGTCAAAAAGGCACAAGAATTCTTCAAAATATGTTTAGAAACACAAAAAAATGTAGGATCTATCAATTCCAATCAACTTCAGGTTCTACTTCTTCACTTCCGGTGCGACCGTATGTGCTCAAAACTACTTTCAACTCTACGTCAAGCATGCAGTAATCATCCCTAAAAGCTTCGATGGAAAATACTCAGTTTTAGACAACTTCCGGTTTGAACGAACCGTTCTTCCGATGGAAATATTAAGATGCTACGCATTCTTTAAATCTCTATAATGAACAATTACATTCATTAGAAAATGAAGAAAAAAATCGCTATACATGAACATTTATTTAAATATCATGTACTTCCGGTTTACAACGGAAGTGTCGACGGAAAAAGTGAACAAATTAAATACAAAGTATGCATATTGTTGGGAACATTATTTTGACCATCTTCTGTTCAATATTGCTTATCAAAATATTCACGCTTTTCGAGATATAAAGCGTCAAAGATTTAGCATTCTAGCCCCCTGTGACCCTTTATTACGTAACATATGATCAAATTTTTAGTAGATATTGTTGCAAATAGTTAAGTTGAATATCTTTGCTTCAGTAATGTATCACAAATTATTATACCTCTGTTTATTTTTTCTATATAAAAAGAAGACTAATAAACATGCTATTTTTTCTAAACAGTCTCTACCGTGAAATAGTTTTTGTGCTATTTGCCCAAGGTGAATAGTCCTCAAACTATTCAACGGCAGCATTCCATTTCCCTCGCTTTTCATCTCTGAAAAACTTCTGATTTTACATGGATTGTGACGCGTATATATTATGACGTAACAAAAGTTAAGTCAGCACCGGTATAATATGGAATATCATAATTGTGTGTACCCTGGACTTCCAAAAGTTAACAAAAGTTAAGTCGGCATCGGTATAATAAAACACCTATTTACTGACTATTCGGACAATAGCAAGTTTATCGTCCCCCTCGACAGCAAACTATTTCCCTCGGCTGCGCCTCGGGAAATAGTTTGCTGTCTTGGGGAACGATAAACTTGCTATTGTCCTCATAGCCAGTAAATAGGTGTATAATATTGATCATTTAAGAGTTAAAGACGAGAGACTTTTAGCCCCTCTATGCCCCTAATTTGAAGGGCTAACCCCATTTTCTTCATATCAAATGAAAGGGCTTACTATATTGCACATTTTTTATTATATATGTCTTAACAAAATATTAACCAGTAAAAAGATATAAAAGAAAACGTATCAATTTTTGCGAGATGCGCATGAGCCTATTTTTCGAGCCCAGGCGAGCGTCGATGCCTTTTTACCTGGAAAGCTCTATATACAAAATGTCACATCTACTAACCTTCCTCTACCTTCACTGAAAATCTCAAGTCGATATCTTTAGTCGTTTAGGAGGAGATCTCAGGACAAGCCGACCCTCTAAAAATCAGAAAATCGACCATATCTCACGACCGGAAGTGACGTTATCAACGACGAAAATTTCCGACAAGGTTCAGATAAATATCTATCAGATTTGAAAGTTTGGTGAATATCAGGCGAGCCGTTTCCGAGAAATCGCGTGCACAAAATCGGTAAGAAAAATAATAATAGGGAAAAAGAAACCGAACGAAAACAATAAGGTCTTCCGTTGGAGACGGAAGACCTTAATAATAAGAAACAGAGTAAAAACAATATGTTCCCCAACTTCGTTTGGGGAACATAATAACTAGTGCTAATTGTAACGGGAACCGTTACAGATGTTCCCCAACGCTCCCCAACTCCCTTTTGGTGCCATATTCTCTCTAAGCTTCATAAAAAAGTCATCTGTGCATTTCTTACTTTAACAACGTTTTCCCAGATGGATACCAATTATTATATTCAAATTTTAGAATTCATGTGCGTAATGACCATATCATTTTGTCTTCACTATCTATATATTTTAATATACTATACATTAAAATATTTAGTCCAAAAGTATTAAAATAACTCATTCAATTGTATTTTTATATTCACTCGATCCAAATGCACGCACGTGCGTGCACGTGTATGGTGACCATGCCTTCTTGTAGCAGTCCCTTATATCTATCTTTGTTCTAAATCCCATCCTGTTTGGTTGAAAACCAAGGGAGGAATAGCTATTTAAAGTTTCAGCCAATCAGATTGCAGCGCACGTGCATGCGCGTGATTTTATGAAAATTATTATATATCATATTGTAGGATATCCTAATGCATGAGTATGTATTAAATTTCAAAGCATTTCATCAAAAAACAAAGGAGATATAGCCATTTAAAGTTTCAGCCAATCAGATTGCAGCACACGTGCATGCTCTTTATTTCTTGAAATGTTTTGTATATCGTATTACAGGATATCCTAATGTATGACGATGTTTTAAATTTCAAAGCATTTCATCAAAAAACAAAGGAGATATAGCCATTTAAAGTTTCAGCCAATCAGATTGCAGCACACGTGCATGCGCTTTATTTCTTGAAATGTTTTGTATATCGTATTACAGGATATCCTAATGTATGACTATGTTTTAAATTTCAAAGCATTTCGTCAAAAAACCAAGGAGATATAGCCTTTTAAAGTTTCAGCCAATCAGATTGCAGCACACGTGCATGCGCTTTATTTCTTGAAATGTTTTGTATATCGTATTACAGGATATCCTAATGTATGACTATGTTTTAAATTTCAAAGCATTTCGTCAAAAAACCAAGGAGATATAGCCTTTTAAAGTTTCAGCCAATCAGATTGCAGCAC